AAGACTCAAAGAAAGAACCCCATTCTGACCTTTTATGAGTTCAACATAGTGAGCACATATGATCTTCTAACAATGTTAGGAATTAATGATGTTAAAAACTCAACCGCGTGAGCTAGGTGCTTAAGCTAAGAAGATTAAGGCTTTGGGATAGTGATTTTGGTGAGAACAACGTGTTTGATCAGAGAGAGGTAGAGCCCGCTGCCTCTGCCCAATGCTATAGAAGTCGTAGATAGGGGTAATAGCTATAACATAAGGGAGAACACAAACAATACAATAGTTCACCGGCTGAAGAGCTCGACTAGCCTACTCTGATGGTATCTCTTAGTCCTTGGGGGCTTTTCTATTGCTTGGGGAAGAAGACAGAATTGCAGTTTTTTTTTTTTTGTGTAATTACAATTGATGTCTTTGTAAATGGATGATTGTCCTTGTATTTATACCCGCATGTGGGGTGGTACTCACGTCATCATCACATGGTCCCCAATTTATTAGAATTTTATTAGGGGAATATTTTGCCTTTAGAGGTTTCATTCCCTATATATGATGTGGCCATCTGGAATATGTTGAGGTGGCATTGACACCCCTTTCTAGGTCTGGATATGTTGTGATCATTCATAACTGTGAGAGGTCGTACAGCTTGAATCAACACATTATTCCTATGGATAGCTCATTGATAAAGGAGCTCGATCTATTTTCCTGACCCGAGTAGGAAATACTGAACTTCTTTATGATGTGATATGGACGACGTGGTCACCTTCATCTAAGGTCATACATGAACGACTTGGACACCTTTATCTGAGGTTGTACATGAACGACTTGGACATCTTTATCTAAAGCTGGGTGTGCAACTGAAAGTCAGCAGATAGACCTCTAAGATTATGGCATTGTGCAGGCGTGGGGTGTAGAAGGCGCCTCATTTTTCAAACCGTGCAACTTACATTGAGCCACGTGGAGAGGCGTACTGTCATATTCAATGCACACAACGATGAGAAAGAACTGCCAAAAATTTATTTATTTAAACCTTTCTCAAATTCGAATTCTCTCTTTACCAATATTCTTCAAAATACTAGAATCCCAAATTGATTTCTCTTTCCTACATATTCTTCGCTATCCCTAGAGAGTTCTTGTGAGATTTGAGAGGAATTGATTGAAGACTCAAACGATTCAGGGGGTTTCGGGCTTAGGTTCCTTGGAGCTCGTCTCATTCGTGTCTAAGTTCTTCATCTTCTTTTTGCCATCATTGTCCTCTAGGTAAACTTTTATTCTTTCCTTTAACTTTTTTGCATCAATCTTGGATCGTTTTAATCCTCGGTGGTGGTCTCAGGGTCTTTATTTTTTAGTGCTCCATTTTTTCTACTTTAGGGGTTTAGGTAGGTCTCTAGGAGCTCTTCCCCACTTCTTGGACCCTTGGGCCATAGCTAGGGTTTTCTTGTTGTGTCATTGGTGTCTAGATTCTCTCTCGATTGAAGGCTACTTCGTGAGTGTCTCTCAGATTCCCTCTGAGTTAAGTAATTCGTACCTCCGAGCTTAGATATGTCTGTGTCTTCTTCTACTACTAGGTCTTCCATCTCTACAATGTATAGGGGGGAGGGAATGAAATTGAGGTCAAGTCATCCTCTTAACGAGGGGCGATAGACTTGGAAGGGGACAAGGAGCCTTTATCGGTCGGACGTCACATGGAGAGTTCTTCTCAACATGAGGCTCATCTTCTAGATCCTTATCTCCTCCTCTAGAATATGCTTGAGGAGAGAATCTCCAGCCAGGGGTAATAGAAAAAGGACCCCCAAGAGAAGAGTTTCCAAATCTTCCTAAGCTTCTCCGTCTGGCGAGGTCAATACCTCGGGTAGGTCTTGAGACTTATAGGGGCCAACTGTGACTTTGAACCAGAGTTGCATAATTGAGTTCAGGCTTCAGTCTCTGGCTAGTTGTTACCAATTTCTGAGGGGGTTGTGGTCTACCCTCCTTCAAATGTTGATCGCTTTAATGTAAGACCCCATACTAGAATTAAATAAAAATAATATCATCTTAATATTTGTCATAGAATGAATAAAAATATTTTAAAAACCTTAAATTGTTGTTAAAAGATTGATCATGAAATTTGAGTTTTGGGCAAATTAACTTTTGGGTCAAACTTAGTTTCAAACATGTTTAATTTTAAAAAAGGTGGTTAAGTAATTTTGTAAATATTTTTCGATCAAAATAAGGTTTTCAATGAATCCGAAAGGTTGAAAAACATTGGAAGTATTTTGGAGTTAAAACCTATTTTGGAGGGGATTTGGATAAAAAGGAATTTAATACTATTTTAGTATTTTTAGTCATAACTTTTTATTCTAAATTCCGGTTGAGTTGATTTTTGGACAGTAGAAACTAGACTTCAAGGGTAATAAAAGTGTAGTTCACGAAAATTTCCTAAATTGTCTTGTAAATAGGTCAAAATCAATCTGAAAGTTAGAGGTATGCTGTCATACGCGTTTGGACGGGAGAAACGTGCGTCTAGACACACCGAGCAGAACGTGGACAATCGTTGTTAAGTGTTTTCTCCACTTTTGGCATTATAAATACCTAGGGAATGACCCTTAGGCCTATGTTTAGCAATTATTCGTCTAAGAAAGAGAGGAAGAAAGAGAAGATACACGGGGAGCATTCTCGTTTCAGGATTGATTCAAACATGCTAGATAAATCTTCAATTATCGGATTAAAGGTAGGGGATTATTCACAAGTTCTTTCATTGAGATTTAGGGTATAATTATATATGTTTTAAATCTTCTAGATTATTAGATGTTAAATAATCTTTCGTTCTTGGTTTCTTTTGATTAGCATATTGTTCGTTCTTGATTCTTTTGAAATAACATGGCTTTCTACGAGATACGTGTCTTGTATCCAAGAAATATTGTTCTTGAAATTTTAAAACCCTAGTTTGCTAAATACATGTTTGATTGTGAAAAATACATGAATTCTTGATTTCTAAAGTTCTATTCTTGATTAAATAGGTTTTCAATCAATTACTTGTTCTTACTTCAAAAAATTATGATTTTTGGCAAAATCCTAGAATTTTGATATCGAAATTGTGAAGGTTTTATTAATATGATATCTTGCATATTTTCATTTATTTATTACTATAGTATATTGAGAATTGTGCAATTGTGATACTTGAATTGTTAACGAAAATTGTGATTGGTTAATATTACGATTGTTGAGAAATTGTGGTTTCATCTCTTATATGGTTTGGGTATGACAGACTTGAATTCCCTTCGAGAGCTATCGTAAAGTGTTAGAGGTTAGTCTATTCCAGTGGAGGTGAGATGGTTGCCTAACACTTGTAGTAGATTGTTGTTTGTGAGAGCAACCACTATTGTTCACGTAATTTTGAGGTTGAGGGATGGTATAACTTTCCTGTGAAGGATTCATCAATGCAGTGAGAGACGATATACACCTTTCCTAAATTTATTTGTGATTTAATCCTACGAAGAATGATTGAGATTATGTGGTTGTGATGGGTGAACGAGGTAGAATCTTTGTATAGATTTCTGAGAAGCAACTAACGTACATAACAATGGGGATGAACCAACATACATGAAAATATGAGATGATGCTACTGAGTTATTTACTGACTGCTTTAATTTCTTGCAAGTTTATTTCTATAATTGATTTGTTGTATTCCGTACACTTGAGATCATTACAACTGTCACGGTTTTACTTTCAAAAATTTATATATGATATTTTTCAAAAGAGACTTGCCTTGTTTTTATTATTTTAAACCTTGTTGAGATTTGAGAGGGATTTTCTACAGGCTTTTGCTCACCCACTACAACACACTTACGGATTTTGGCATAGAAGATGATGTTTATGTGGATGAGCAGGTTGATTACGAGATATTGGAGAATCAAGATGTGGACCATGTCTTAGAGGAATATAGTTGTTTTAGTTTTGGTTTAGTGTTTGAGAAATTTTTATGAAACGATGTTTGAGCTAGTTTTGATTATTCCGCTGCTAGATACTATTTGGTTTGAATTGTAAGTTGGAAAGGTTTTAATGTTTTATTGGCTTTAGCATTTATTCTTTATTAGATGGATGATTGAGCGGTTGTTCTAATGGGTATTTTTAGTTACTCTCATAGTTGGATGGTTTGTAGATACTAATGTCTTCCAAGGTAGATTTTGGGGCGTTACATTTAATGTGCACTTGACTGGAAAGACTTGTTTCTTCGTTTTGGCATTTAAGTTAGGTCTTAGGTCATCTATCCCTCAAGGATGTCTACTAATTTCTTGGGAACCATGGTTGGTCTTTTAGTCCTTTGAAGGGAAAATGACCTAGGTGAAGCTCTTTTTATTGTNCCTAATTTCTTGGGAACCATGGTTGGTCTTTTAGTCCTCTGAAGGGAAAATGACCTAGGTGAAGCTCTTTTTATTGTCGAGCTCCTTCACTACTTCAATGTCAAGTGTTCTCCTACGGATGACTTCTTCTATATCTCCAAACGAGTCAAAGTCCTAGTTGTAGGTGCCCCTTCTTCCCATGAGACCTAGAAAGAGCACTTNCCAATCCAACCCAATCCACCTATGGCAATCCAAACACCCCCATAGTTTTTTTCTCAAGTGTAACAAAATTGAAAGCTCAATCGAGATTAACAACGTTGGTGGAATTTCTGATACAATGCTTCTGATGATGATGATGACAATAATAATAATAATAATTATTATTATTATCAACCGAAGTGTACTTGAAAAAAATTCCCATACTTTGAATTGATGGTTATGGAATCTGGCTTGATTAAGAAAACAAACAAAAGACAATCTTCCTATATAATGAACAAACTCTCAGAGACCGGGGGTGACCAGNATTATTATTATTATCAACCGAAGTGTACTTGAAAAAAATTCCCATACTTTGAATTGATGGTTATGGAATCTGGCTTGATTAAGAAAACAAACAAAAGACAATCTTCCTATATAATGAACAAACTCTCAGAGACCGGGGGTGACCAGTCGGAACTCGAAAGTACTTGGATGCGTAAGGTAGTAAAGGCTATGGAAGCAAGTGTAACACCCCGCATTTTCTTTTATATATGTATATAGATATATAGTAAATAATTGTTGTAAAAATGGGGATATGTGTAGTGATGTGTGTTTGAATTTGGTAGAATGAAAAAGGGATGAACAGTGCACTGGCTGTAACATCAAGCTCGATTTCGACCTTGATGCAGTCCATATCTCTCAAAACTTAAAACATGAAATTTGTAGATCTCTCTCTTAGGATTCCATATCACCTTGAATCATCTCAATCGGAACTAGGAGGAAGGAGTTATGTCCATATTACGAAGTAGTGTCTACACTGTCCAAAAATTTGTCAGGGAGACTACCTTTCGCTAATTTCATCATAACTCTTTATTGGAAAGTCCGAATTGTGTACCGTTATTTTTGTTAGAACCCTAACTCGTATATCTTTCCAACCATATAGGTTACACCTCCTAGAAATACCTGAGTCAAATCAGTTTATTCTATGAAGTTGACCAAAAATCTGCACAATGGTGCTCCTTGGATAGTAAAGGGTTGTG